CCCTCCTCCTCCTCCTCCTCCTCGTCATCATCATCATCATCATCATCATCATCATCATCATCACCTTCGGAGTAAGCATCGGTGCATGTTGTGGAGCTGCAGCAACATCAAGTTGCGCTTCTTCTGCTAGCGCCCTGTTGATGAGCAGACGAGGTCACAGCCGAGACGCGATGGTTATGATATAGAGACCTTGCTGCCTTGTGAAGACCAGACGAGACAAGATGCTGTTTGATATCGTCAGTGACGAAGATCATACGTCGAACAACATGAAGTGTTTGCGACAGCAAAATGCCGAAATGAAAGAAGAATGTTGATCTCACAGGGAAGGGGATGTGTAAGGTTGAGGTCTCAGAGGCAGAAAGACAGAGATAAGATGGATGTCAGACAACGATCGGCGGTGGGAGAACGTAGATCTCATGGACATCGTGTTGAGAAGTAAAATTTGAATGATTGCACATCATATCTCACCGCTTGAACAAGTCTCAGCAACTCTCTGTTGTCATATGATATCGTGGCTTGTTCTACAGTTGCTGCCTTCTCGATCTTTCGCAGCGCGCTATCGCCCTGAGTGAAAGATCAGCGGAAGGAACAAAGAAAACGAAGGTCAGGAATATGAAAATTTCTGTTCTGAGGAGCAAAAAACAACATCTGACTGACAATATAGAAAACATCAAGAACTTGTTAATAGCAACAGCTCATGACAATGTTTGTTGTCTCCTGACGACTTTCACATCGGCCATCACGACAAAAATTGGAGCATTTCAACAATCTCGCAATCTCAAGGGTGCATACGCAACATCATCCGCAGAACATCATCAGCAGAACATCATCAGCAGACCATCATCAGCAGAACATCATCAGCAGAACATCATCAGCAGAACATCATCAGCAGATTTGCACTATTCTCAACTCACAGCCACGTCTAGCACAGTGTGCTGCGCTCGACCGGTGATACAGGAGATGAGGTAGGAGGCAGACTGTCAGCTCAGTCACCGAACTCGCGAGCATCGACGACAATCTTACAAGTCTGAAGGCAGATGCCTCCACATCGCGAACTGAAGTCCCACGTCTTGGTGCCTTTGTGATAGTTTTGATCAGACAGCCCACAACTCTTCTTGCTCTTGGGGCTGCTACCTCCTCCTCCTCCTCCTCCTCCTCCTCCTCCTCCTCCTGTCCATTCCCTCCCTCCAAACTACATCCCCCTATCATTTTGTTTCGGATATGCTACCCTCGCCCAACCCTCCAATCCGCTTGTTCTCCTTTTCCTCCTCTGTCCTGCATTTCACTTCCCTAGTTTTTCCCTCAAACATCCCAATCACCAGCTCTGCTCTGCTCTACTCGCCTTTCCTCGCTCTCCTCTCCCATGCCCACCTGCTTCAGAAGCTCCGACAGCGCAAGAGCAAGTTGAGACTCTTGCAGGATCTGCATGACGTCGCTCAGCCGCAAACCCCAGCTGACGGCAAGCTCACTTGCTGGATCCTTGGCTCGTAGCTGAGCCCAGTCAGGGCCCGGCACGCCAGAGCTCTGATACGGTCCTAGTTGTCAAAGTTGTCAAACATCCTTCCCAGCAGAGCGAAAGTTATACATGTGATGTATACTCGCTGTTGCCCCTCAGCAGGGCACTCAGCACCCTGATCCCATCGCAGTCCTACCAGGGGCTCGTCAGGGTTGTCAAAGTGACGTTCCCAGCTTGTCAAACTTGCGACTTCCCACCTGGAGAGACTTCCACACTCGGCGACAAGTTGCGTTGGGGCCGTTGGAGTCCCAGTGGAGGGACCCCCAGGTGGTCAGAGCTCGGTTGCCGTCCATACTATGGACGTGCTGGTGAAGGGCCCGGCCAGTGAAGGGCGGAGCGGAGCATCCGACGCAGGTGCAGATGGCGTGAAGGGCACTTGACATGACGTCTCCGTCCTGACCGGGGAGGATCAGAACGGGAGGAGGAGGCTGGAGGAGGAACGGGCAAGAGAGCCATGGTCTCGATAAGGATGAACAGCTGTCGCATCGAAGGGAAGGGGAGGAGGAGAAGGAGGAGGGGGAGGCTGGAGGAGGAGGAGGAGGAGGATAGATAGCAAACTGGAGGCAGGATGTTTGGGCTGGGCTTACCGAGATCACGGTCCCCCTGCGGCATCCACTAGCATCCTCATTCCTGATCGTGAAAACGAAGCATCCTTGCATACATATTAGAAGAGCAGGAGCAGGAGCAGGAGCAGGAGCAGGAGCAGGAGCAGGAGCAGGAGCAGAAGCAGAAGCAGGAGCAGGAGCAGACAAACAAGCTGGTGCAGCGGGAGAGGCATAAGGAGGAGCAGCAGCACGAAGTAGGAGGGAAGAAGAGGCAGCAAGAGGAGAACAAACCTCCGAGTCAAGGCTCGTCTCCATCAGGTCCATCCTTATCATCGGCAACAGGCACGTGATCTAGAGCATATCAACTTCAGCGACGGCCATGACAAGACCCCATCCTCCCTCCCCACCTGCATAGTCTGCAGGATGTAAGCTGCCAGCTCGCAAAGACGAGTTTGCGCCTGCCAGCCTGGCGTTCAGAGCCCGGGGATGACTGCCGCAAACTTACGGCAAACTGGAGCAGCTGCAGCAGGAGCTCGAGACCTCCGTTGCCAGCCACCTCCTGCACTGCTGCTGCCCAGTCGGCAGGGTCTACAAACCTTCCCCTGCGTTAGGAACGGTCAGCAAAGATACGCAAAACCACCACCCCCCCCCCCCACACATCCCTGCTTGTCCTCTCCCTGCCATCTATCCTCTCTCCAATCTCCTTTTATGTCATTCACCAGACCATTCTCTTGCTACCAACAAGCTTTTTCCGCTTCCTTGTTCTCCTCCTTCCTATTCCTCCTTTTCTTCTACGAACAACCCGATCCACGATTTCCTCTTCGCTCTCCATGATTAAAAATTCCTCTTCAAAGTGCAACTACCACCACCACTACCTCCTCCTCCTCCTCCTCCTCCTGTCTTCGCTCCACCTTCCTTCCTGAATCCTCGTCCTGCACCACCACCATCTCTCCCTCCTCCTGACCTTCTCTCCAGCAGTATGCACGCCTTAGCAACTTGCTCCTCGTCATCGGGTGACACAGCTTTGTTCGGGCGAAGGGCATGGTTGGCCTTGTTGCTCGGCTTCGCTTCTCTCGCTGCCGCGTCTCCATCCGCCTCCACGCGCTCAAGATGCTCAGCAGCAACGAGGAGATGAGCGCGGACGAAGTTCCTCAGGGCCAGCCCGCACCACTTGGCGACACTTTTCCCTCCTCCTTTCACCCTCTGCCTTCCTTCACCCTGCTCGAGCACAAGGGATACGTGGACGAGGAAGCATCAGGGGTAGACCGGGAGCAAGACAGAAGAGGGGTGGTGGTGGAGAGGACAGGGGAAGGAGGAAGGGGGGGGGCAGGAGAGGATGTAGAGATAGGCAGAGAGGGACAAGAGGGGAGGCAACAGCGAGAAGGACAGGGAGGAGGAGGAGGGAGGGGAAGGAAAATTTGAGTGGGCAATAAAGAGAGCAGGTCGCCTCACCGTATTTTCCAGGCAGATCCTGACCACATTCATCAAGCATCGGCAGCTTTCCAAGGGTCTGTCAGCGAGGAGCAACAGCGGTTAAACGTCAGACGTTACCCTCCCAGCTCATCGAAGGGCTTCAAGAAGGCATGCTCGTACGCCAGAACCTTCCCGAGCTCCATCAGTCATCCTCTTGGGCTCGACACCGCAAACTCACCTTAGCGAACGACTGCAGGACGTTGCTGGTGGCAACCTGGTGAACCAAAGAAGTGAATCCAATGCAGAGAGGGAGGGAGGGAGAGAGGGAGGGAGGGAGGGAGGGAGGGCAGCTGGCAGGATGAGAGGACCTCGTCCCTGTACTCGACGAGCTGCAGGAGGAACTGAACAAGCTGCTTGGAAGTGGGCCTCGGGTGTGCGCAGAGTTTGTCGATGACGCCCCTGAAGTGAACCTGCGAGGAGGAGGAGGAGGAGGAGGAGGAGGAGGAGGAGGAGGAGGAGGAGGAGAAGGAGGCAGGGGGCACGAGAGGCAAGAAATGCCGTCAGCAGTTGGACAGAGGAGAGGAGGAGGAGGGAGGGCAGGGAGCTTGTGAACTGACCAGGTTTAGGAGACAGAGGGCGGTGGATCCTGCGTAGTAGGACATCTCAGGAAGCTCAAGGAGCCGCTGAAGACCCTGGGGAGGATGCTCGTCATGGGAGGAGCACTCATAGCCCACTCCTCCCTCCTTACATCATGCTCCACGAAGACAAGGGCAAACTTTCGATGAAAGAGGAGCGCCGCAAGCATGCGAAGGGTCTCGTGGCACAGGATCTGGCACAGCCGTTGGGATCGACCTCGCAAGGATAGCATTGAGGCCGACAAACCTTGTCGGATCTCTCCATCAGCCTGATCGCTGTCCCAAGAGCGTTGTCCTGACAAACACCAGCCTCCCTCTCAGCCTCCCTTGCAACCTCTAGAAATCAGCATCACCTCCAGCGCGCAGCTCAGACACTCTTTGTAGCTCATCAGGACTCGCAAACATTGAACAAGATGATTTTTCTCCCTCTCAAGGAGCATCTTTCCCGTCAGCTCTAAGACGACAAGTGAGTATCAGCACAACCGTCTCCCACACAGAACATCCTCTACCCCAGTCGTTCGACGGCTCTGATTCCGATTCCTTCACCCCCGGGGCTTGCATGATGCTCTTGTCTTCCCAAACGATCCTTCCTCGCATTCTCAGCAGCATTCACAGCATGCAAGTCAACCCGCACCCACTCAGTCTCTTGAACATGTTCGGGACCAACCCTTTCCGCACGATCTCGTCTGCACACTGATACTCCTTGTGAGCAAGAAGGAAGACCAAAAGTAACCCTCAACCTGGTCGTCCAACAGGGCCAGTGATAGCAGCCCAGCTCCATACTGACAAGCTCGTCATGCGGCTAGACTTGAGGTCGACTCGGAACTCACCGAGCACATCGGCAGTTCCTCAGAAGCAACCCACTGGGAAAGTTTCTCTTCCATGCTAGAGACAAGAATCAAAAGGAAGCTGATCCGTAGAGTACAAAATTAGACCTGTCCTGTGTTAGAAGCTCCATGAAGAGTGATTGTTGCAATGAAGGCAAACATGACAGCCCTGGTGCAGCTGCGACAAGAAATCTAACACAATGGGTTCACATACACATGCAATCATGGCTTCGATTAACAAACCTTGCCGCTGCTGTTTGCAGAACAGCGTCTCTACGTTGTTCAACGGCTGTGAACAGAGTGCTGCAAGCATTGTGAGAATCGCAAGACATCCTGACTCGTTGATCTGCCTGAGCATGCTCTCGTTCTGGACGATGATGGCCAACATCTCCATGACCTGTCTCCTGAGTCAAAACAATCTCTATGGAGCCCTCAATCTCATACCGGAAACTGTTCGCGCTCTCTTGCAAAGATATCTGGATTCGATGCCCGGAAGACAAGCTCCTCTTGCTCAAACAATGCAGCAGCCTGCATTGAATCTTCAAGTTAGACTGCAACGCAGCAGCCGCAAGCCTTGCATGCCTTGCTGAGAACTTCGCTCGCTCTGGCTGAATCATTAGGGTCTTCCATGAAGGAACTGAGGAGGGCCTTGTTGACGGTCAGAACGCTTCAACCATACGAGACGCCTTGGTCATACCTTTGTTCTCGCAACCACATTCTCCTCCATGTCTGCATCTTCTTGAGACCCCTCCATTGAGATTGGGAGGAAAACCAATTAGCGAGGCAAGGAATCGTCTACGGAAGGATAACCAATGCACTTCAGAAACAATGTTCCCTTGTCGGAGTCTCACCGACCACTTCCGGCCTTTATCGCAGGCGACTTCAAGTTGGCTCAAATTCTGACCTGTCTTGCTTTCAGAACCGAGTAGATCTCCATGCCATCGCTCCTGAATTCTCAGCTATCCCTACCTACCATATTCCGCCCCAATCGCCTTTACCCTCCATGATGCTTATTATCCATCATGCTCACCTTCCTAAATCGTCTACCCAACACTCTGGTCTATATCTCCGCTTTCAACTTGCTCCTCCCATCCTCCCCCCTCCTCTTCTGCATGGCTCGCCTTCGCGCCCCCTTCCGATTCGTTCGCCATGGCCCCAAACAGATTTCCATCAGATTGTCTTCTTATTTTGAAATTATCATGATCAGTTTTGAAATGTTCCCAATGCATCTCAGCAAATTTCGTGTTCTCTATCGAATTTCTCTTCGCTCTATCGCACACAACTTGTAAGAGAAAGGGCAGCAATAATTTCCTATGAATCCTCTCCTGTCGAATTCTGCTGCCCTGTTATCTTGTTACCCGGCAAGCCTGCGCGGGGGCCGCTGCACGTGCGGCCTCGGCCGGTGTAGGAATGATCGGCCCTTGCCGCCGGGCCGCTGAGCGGCTAACCGGCGCACTGAGCTCCGAGTGTCGTCAGCTCGGACCGGCCCCCCGGGGAGACCGTCCCGGACGGTCCGGGCCGTGCCATACTACTGAGCCTCGGAGCCTACCGTACGGTAGGCTGACTCCCGTGACCTACGGTACCGTACCGGCCCGGTACCGTACCGTACTGCGGCTCAGTACTACCGTAGCCTCAGCCCGCCGGGCCGGCCGCTACACTACAGTGAGTCCGGTCGCAAATAACAGTGAAGCTTCTTTACTTTAATTTCAAGTTCAACTTAACTTTGAGTAAAGAACTTCGGAAGCTTCACAGTGCCGGGGTACTACCGTACTGTACGGTAGTGTGCGCGGCAGTGGCTCAGCCTGGCAGCGCTCAGCGGCTACTAGCCAGTGATCATGCGCCGGGCGGCAATCCACTGCGGCCAAGTGGCTGACCCCGAGGCTCTGTGAGCGGCCAGTAAGTTGATTGGCACGGCGCCGGCGACGGTACGGTCCCGATCGGATCGGCCGCGCCTGGCGATGCCCGGGGGCGGCCATCCGATCCCGCCGCCGCGCGGCGGTCCGACACGCGGCCCGGCCCGGGGCCCGGTGGCGACTCGGAGCCCGGCTAGCCTGAGTCCGAGCCGGGCGGCGGCGTCCGATCGACATGATGGTACACGGCACGGTGCGGTGCCACGGTGACTGGCATCCGAGTCGGCGCCCGGCGCCGGGGGCCCGGCCCGCCGGGGCCCGCGGCCCGCGGCCGAGTCCGATCGGCAGTGCCGCGCGTGACTGCGGCGGCGAATGCCAATTGGCAGTGGGCCCGGCGGCCGGCATCAGCAGCGTGTCGGCGTGACTCCGAAAAGGCTCCGCCGGACAGTCGTCCGGGGAGGGGGGAGCTTCACAGCGCCCACCCCTATCATTTCAATAAACTGACCCCACCCCTGGTGGTTTTGGTAAAAAAATGAATTTTCTCAGGGGAACGATCACGTCACCGCACGGAAACAGGAGCGGCACATACAACAGCCCCCGAGACTCTGGAGGAAGAGGGAGGAGGTGCCGGTGAACCAGAGGAAGCAAGGGTGGGATCTCGAATACCGAGCGAGAGACAGAGGTTGTCAGCTTGGGAGTTGGAGGAGGAGGGGAATTTACGGGGGAAAGAGCAAGGGAAGAGTTGGAGCAGAAGGAGAACAGACGCCGTCTCCCCGTCCACTGGGATGGTTTCAAATCTGTTCTTTTAAAAACGCACTCACAATTGTTAGATTTACTGGCCTTGATTGCTTCATATTGATATTGATGTCCAGAGATGGCTCAGACGACACTGCAATTCCTGAGAAATCGCACAGCAAGGAGGCTGGGGATGGAGGGGTGCAGGGCTCAGGATCAGTTGGAACGAACAAGGGTGGGCGAATGACGCGAGCTTGGACAGAAATCGAGAGAAACAAACATAAGATAGCTTGCAAGGGGAAGACTCGCCTCAAAAGGCAAGAGAAATTAGAGATCATCCGTCTACACAACTCAAGCGATCCTGAAGTGCACAAGACAAAAGCGGAGCTCGCTAGTATGTTTAAGAAGAGTCTGTCGGCCATTGCAAAGATTCTGAAGCCCGAGAGTATTGCGAATCTAAGGGGGAAGGCGGAAAAGAAATAGATGGTTTCGCAAGTCGACCTGTCAGTGGTTCATTTAACACGGCAAAGCTGCAACTGCTGTGGTGTGTGAAAGATCTCCGTCGACCTCCTGTGCTTGAATAATTTGTCTTTGAGTTGAATGAAGTGTTTTGAAATCCCATGAAATCAAGACAAGCTGAGACCTTTGAATGTTTACAAGTTCTTGCTCCTTGGAACGAGACCTTCGAAAGTAACTCGGCTACACTGAAAGCAGGACTCGAGGAGACATGGGTTTTGTGAAGATGGAACCAATCTATGCATCGTCCTCTTCGAATGATCTTGTGAGTTCTCATTGGATTGAATTTTCAACCAATGAAATCTTAATGAATTCATTCCAGCGGCCCCTCAGACTGATGACCACTAGCTCTCTTCCGAAATTTGGTGGGACTTGCAAAGTAGTAAAACTTTTACTGTAACAACAAATATCAATTGAGAGCTCATGAAGCTTTTACTTTCACAACAGGCTGTCAATGACTGGTATCGACAACTTTGACCATCCAACATCAGCTCTTTTTTCATCGTTCTGGTCCCAGACTGCACCTTTAAGTCAAAGGTGTGAAATAACTCTCGCGCGCTGACAAGGTGAACATGACAACGTGGTCGTTGTACAAACTTCCCTGTCTAGCTAGGTGAAAGCATTTTTGCAACCTCCCCTTGCATTCCCCAGGCTTGCAGAGGGATGAGTACTTGAAGCAACTGCAGAGGCATCAAGACCGAGTGTTGTCATGAGCCTTATGATATTGTATTGCCGGGGGCATTTGTCAACGCCCTGCGGTAAATGGGTGACATCTGACTGCGCTCCTGCCTGTTACCCCACATCAACATCACGGTCGGGCTTCTAAGAAACCTTGTTATTGCAAAGATGAGCTCCCCGTCAGTTTCAATCACAATCTCGTCATCTTCAGCGTCCACGTACGCCATCTGCCTTCGCTCAAGGGGTGTGGCATCGCAGTTTTGCCGAACATGTCCATGGAGATGCATGAGATTGTTGCATCCAGTTGTCATCCAGTGAGGAGAACTCAGATCAAACGGAGTGGTGAACCGAACGGTTTTACATTCCCCGCGAAACACAACAAATACAAGAAACGTGATGTTCGTTGACCTGGATAGTGGCGATGACGACGACGCCCACCCTTCTGAAATCATGCGGATTGTTCGCATTATCACCAAAGATTCAGTCTTGTGCGAGCTAGGACGTGATGTAGAGCTAACATGGTTGGGCGCTGTTGCCATGATGGGAGGAGGAGGAGGGAGGGGAAGCACAGGGGAAGGAAGTTTTTCTTATGCAAGGGAGCCGAGTCGCTGGTGCACCGGGGGCAACGAAATATCTTTCTCCGTTGGTACTTTTATTAATAAGAATAAAATATCCGCCGTTCCGTGTTGTAACGTGACCATGTCATCTACTCATAGCGAAAATTAAAAATTAAAAATCACAATCGCCAGCACGCCTCAGATAAATTGCTGCCTTGAAGAAAACCGAATGATATCCAACATATTCTCACTGTTTTTTCATGTCCTTAGAAATATTGGTTGAGGCGGGTTCAGTTCCTTACCTCGCCATGGCGGCGTCGACCGGATGCACTAATAAGGTATGCAAAATTTCTGACGCCTCCGCCGCCTCCGCCTCCGCCTGACCTCCGATAACCTCCATCCTCTTCTTCCTTTCTCCTTCCCGCCTCCTACGTTCCCCACTACCCTCCTCCTTCCCTTCCTCCTTCCCTAACGCCTCATCCTTTCCTTACCTAATTCCATGCTCACGCCTCCCTCCTCCTAATCCTACTCCTCCGTTCTCAATGCATCCCCCCCTCCCCCCGACCCCTCCACCCTCCATCCCTTTATGCTTCTATCGCTTTTGTTTGGATGAATCCAACTCATTCCCCAACACACATGACCGTACTATGTACACACGGACATGTACATACCAAACAAACCAAGTGAAAGATGATTTGTGGTTTAAGACTGGCATTTATTTGGTTCTTATGTGCAATGGTTGTGTATGCTCTCTTTTATGCTTGTTTCATGCTTCAGCATATTGTTTGTGCTTGATTTGAAGCCGATGGATGTCTTCGTCATGGCACAAACTTGAGTCTGTGGTTCGATTATCTTTTTGAGCACTTCAAATCACAATCACAAGGGCGAAGGAGATGAAAAGGCTTGACTATTGCTTTCAAGGCCTTCAAGACAGTCCTTCTCCTCGTCTGGTTTTGTTCCTCGTGCACAGGGTTCCTCCCTTCACAGGTGGTGTAGAATGACCATTCTCACAACGGACGTGTCCTCAGTCTCCCATGCAGACCAGTCTCCTCCGGCCATTGCCGCTCTTGTCCAAGTCAGCGCCCTTGCCTTCCCTCAAGGCAGTCAAGACTTGCCGTCCTCGGCTCCGGGGGGCTCAAATGGTGTCATACTTGCCAATGTCCAGTAGCATCAGCCTGACCAGTTGGATCAACTTGAGGTGTTGGGCCCGATCGGTCCTTTCGTCCCTTTCCGAAGCTCCTACTGCGAGTCGCAGGTCGAGGGCCTCCCTTACCTCCCTCCGCTCCACGTGCTGATCGTTCAGCTGCCTTAGGATGTGGATGATGAAATGATGAAGCTGACGTTGGTATAGCTCCCATGCGCTGTGCTTCTTCTGTCCTTGTTGAAGTTATGTCGTCAGGTAGCTTCAGACTTGAGCGTCAAGTTCCAAGTGCTTCCCCTTGGCCTTCTTACTGGCCGGGCTAACGTGGCACAGGCGATCTCTACTGGTCTACAAAGCGGAGTCCCCCCGAATCCGACAGAGGTGGAGACGATAGCGCAGGAGATGGTGGGCGTCAAAAACAACAACATCTTGCAAAAAGGATCTTACGTTGTGATCTTGAATGATAGGAGAAGGCAAACGAGCAGTGGTCCATTCTCCTGACGAGATTTCAGGTCTTAGTCTGTAGTTTGAGAGACCGATTTTTGAGATGTGGGCTGGCAGCTTTCTGAAGACTTCCAAGCTTTACAGGAAGACATTTCAGACAGCAATGCCTATCCCCTCACATAATCTTTTGTCGAACAGCTGTTCAAGATGACTGAAGCTCGTCTTGCTCAGAACGGCATAAACTTTGCGCAGATGAAAGTTTGTTGTCTCGTGTCAAGACAAGTTTTGGCATGACGTCTTCAATGATTTGCAGGCATCTACCTCATGGCAAGTCCAGGCCATGTTAGCGTATGCCAGCGGGAAACCCCCACCTCCCATGCCTGCTGAAGTACAGAAGATCATGTCGCAATCGGTTGCTCCTCTGTGTTCTTACCCTGCCGTCGCTCATGGCGTGCGCTAGAGCCAAGAGTCGTCGCAGATCATGTCACAGGGGATGATGTCGTCTTCAGGCGTCACTGCCTTGCCCTTTAAGGAAGGGTCCAAGGCCATTCAGTCTCCAGTGGTTCAGGTGTGCGCATGCCGCATGCTAACCGAGCATGGTTGCTCGCTGACTTCGTGCGCGACGGAGCAGGAAGAGTTCAGGCAGATGGTGGCTGAGCACAAATCTTTGGTCAAGCTAGGGGAGGGCTACGGGAAGTGGGATCGAACCGGGAAGCTCATGTACATCGATCAGGTGAGCGCGTCGGCGAGTCTTGCTGCCTCAGCGTTGCCCATGCTCTTGCTGTAGATGGAGGCTATTGAAGATCGCTGGGGAATCTTCATGAAGAGGTCAGTGATGACAGCGAGGGGTCTTGAAGGCGACAGTTCGGGCCCGGACCATGATGGCACTGACTCGGAGTGACGTCAACTTGACCTTTGGTCAGGTTTGAGCTCATGGGAGAAATGAATCCGGAGTTTGTCCTTCAGGTGACCGTACCGTTCTTCTCCTCCTTACGAGTCGCGCGGTCGTGAACTAGCACTGATCATATCCGTGCATTGCAGAGGGATGAGTACTTGAAGCGACTGCAGATCAAGAACGAGCAAGAGTTCATCGTGAGTACAGTGACTTTGCTTGTCTGCGGCTCGGCCAGTGTCAATCATGCGATCATCGGCTGAGTATTGTACTTCCGCAGAACCTTCTGGAGGAGACGCGACGTATCATGAGAGCAGACGCTGAAAGAACTTAGCGGCCCGGTAGTACTCTAAACTGAAACTTGATGAATGCATGCAAAAATGTGTGTGTATGTGTGCATTCAAGTCAACGGTGCCTCCCCCGGGCCGGCTCACCGATTCTGAAGTTCCCGGGCCGGGCAGGGCGCCGGGCCCAGTCCGGCAACGGCCCGGCGGGCCCCGGCGGTGTCGTGATAGTGACTGAGGAGCCAGAGTAGGAGCGGCGGCCCGCGGCCCGGCGGCGCGTGCCTGTCAATTTAAGTTCCCCTGCCCGGCCCGCGGCCACTAGTTCAGTGAACGAACACAGTGGACCACGTGACTCTGAAATGCAACGCTTCGAAGCTCTAGATGTCAGCATCCGCGAGGTGACGTGACCTTCACCCCACCCTCCTAAACCACCCCTCATTCTACTTGGCTAACAACCGGTGGATTGTAATGTGAGCCATAAAAGTCCCTTTTATTCCCCCCCTTTCCCGCGCACCCTTGCTAGGCTCTCTTCCACCGACCCGCGTCTCGGCACCACAGGAGGATCGACATGGACATGCAGGAGATCCCTTTCATGCTCAAGACAACTGAAATCGAACTTCTACTTACCCTCCTCACCCCCTCCCTTCATCTCGATTGCTTCGACCCCTTGCCCTACCGCGACTTCTCCTACCAGTGCTCTTGCTCCCTCTGCCAGCAGCCCCACCAGCTGCCGCATCGCAGCGAGGAGGCGGCAGTGACGTGCGACGAGCTGAGGTACCTCCCGCTGGGGCCGACGGGGAGGTGGCAAAGCTCGCTCGGGGCCGAGGCCATGCGGCGGGCCGAGGCCGCGCTGGCGGAGCAAGCGAGGGAGGACGGGGCGTGGGAGGGGTCGAGGAGCAGCAGCCCGAGCGAGAGCCCGAGCGAGAGGGAGGGGGCGGAGGCTACGGCGACGGCGGGACGGGAGAAGCGGGGGAGGTCGTGGTCGGAGGAGGAGAGGGAGCGGCACAAGAAGGCGTGCCGGGGGAAGGGGAGGCTGTCGGCGAGGGAGAGGCAGGAGATCGTGAGGCTGCATCACTCCAAGGACCCGCAGGTACACAAGAGCAAGGCGGAGCTTGCGGCGATGTTTGGGAAGAGCCTGTCAGCGATCTCGAAGGCGCTGAAGCCGGAGAACGTGAGGAAGTGGGCGAGAGGGGGGAAGGAGAGGGGGGCAGTGGTTTCGAGTTTTGACGAGTAATTATTGATGTAATTTGCATTATTGGAAAGTTTTTCTTCAAGGAAAATAGATTTGATGCATGCATCTGAATTGAAGTTCCAGTCAACACTGTTCCACTTTGTTGCTATGTCATGAAAGTATGTACAGTCAGCAAAGTGCTCATAGGTCCATAGAAGAAATGAACAACGTGAGACGGGAAAAGCGAGAATCTTTCGAATGTCAATATGTCGACTGTTCAATCTTGATGCATGTCGAGGTCATTTCAAACCAGCCAAACACTCATTGTCGCACTCAACACTGTTTGTAGTCTTCTGCTGTCGCATGGTTCAATCGATTATTAGTGGGTCAAAATCTTTATTCGTACTACACGGATGAGTTCATGATAGGCTATAACCTTTTAATGTGGGAAAGGGTAAAACCGACAAACCCGCCTCAACATAATTATAGGAATAGGAGAAGGCAGCACAAACCACTACTCCAACCACACGAGCGGCAATAGTAGCAGTAAAACCAAAACCGTTTTGATAGGGTGCCGGATTCGGAGCCCAAAAAAAAACATGGTGAAAAAAATAATGGTCAAATCCCAAATCTGGTCAAACAAAACAGTACCATATTTACTACATCGTTTCGAAGCGCTGAATTCATGTGCAATGGGGTTTTATCAAAATGGTGGGGTGGGGAGTTTGAAATTGTACCAAAATTTCTGATCAAATCGCCATGGATGGTGGGGTAGGGTAGGAAATCCGCGAGGTGACGTGACCTGCAGCATGATTGTCACGTTACCTCGCGGAGCTGTTTGGTGTACCGGTTCAATGGACTTGAAATTGGTGGGTAGGGTAGGGAAGGTAATTATAAAGAAAAAGGGTCATTGGCAAAGGGCAAGAACGAAGCAAACGCACCCCTGCGTACCACGTTCAACGGGCTGCTGATCGACGCTTATATCAACCTGTGATCTCAACAAGCAAGGCAAAGGCGGGGTTCAGCTAGAAACATGCCTGAAATCTCCTACCCTCAAGCCACCCAGATGCTCTCCTTCCCTCCTCCCCATGCTTGCTGCACCACAGCCTCCCCCTCCTCCTTCCCCGCTCCCTCCCTTCATCTCGATTGCTTCGACCCCTTGCCCTACCGCGACTTCTCCTACCAGTGCTCTTGCTCCCTCTGCCAGCAGCCCCACCAGCTGCCGCATCGCAGCGAGGAGGCGGCAGTGACGTGCGACGAGCTGAGGTACCTCCCGCTGGGGCCGACGGGGAGGTGGCAAAGCTCGCTCGGGGCCGAGGCCATGCGGCGGGCCGAGGCCGCGCTGGCGGAGCAAGCGAGGGAGGACGGGGCGTGGGAGGGGTCGAGGAGCAGCAGCCCGAGCGAGAGCCCGAGCGAGAAGGAGGGGGCGGAGGCTACGGCGACGGCGGGACGGGGGAAGCGGGGGAGGTCGTGGTCGGAGGAGGAGAGGGAGCGGCACAAGAAGGCGTGCCGGGGGAAGGGGAGGCTGTCGGCGAGGGAGAGGCAGGAGATCGTGAGGCTGCATCACTCCAAGGACCCGCAGGTACACAAGAGCAAGGCGGAGCTTGCGGCGATGTTTGGGAAGAGCCTGTCAGCGATCTCGAAGGCGCTGAAGCCGGAGAATGTGAGGAAGTGGGCGAGGGGGGGGGAAGGAGATGGGGCGAGGAGAGAGAGCGTGGGGGAGGAGGGAGATATGATTCTTGGCGAAGTTGCCTGTTAATGCCGAAGAGTTTTGAGATAGTGTTTTTTTGGAGTTTTGTTTATTTTCATTTTTGTTTTGCTCCTCCCCACTTTTGTAGAAATAAAGAAACGATTACGGCATTTTTCTTGCAATGATTGTCTGGAGATGGCTTGATGCATGGAGTGATGTGCCTTCTGATGCATCGGGACAAGCAGCAGAGTTTGTGAGTGTAAAAATCTGTCTTCATCAGTCTTGACTAGGGCGCTCCCTTCTCCTTGCTTCAGCGATGACGAGTAAACCCGCGAGGGATGCTCAACTTGACTCCAGGGGCTGATCAAGCAGAGCAGCAGCTACCTCCGAAACAGGAAACAATAGCTGTCGATGGACGAAATCCTTTTGGAAGAGACGACTATGCCAGACTCACGTGTGCGACCTGCGACTTGCAGACACAGGGAAGTTTGATTGCTTGCGTTCAGTTGAGTAGATGACGGCTTGCACATACGCTGAATTGACTGAATCATTCTCTTCGAGCTCGTTTGTGAACTGGCAGTAGTGCAGTCATGATGAACAACTTCTCTCATCCAGCACTCTTCGAGTAATCAACTTCTCGTTGAGACAGTTTTGTAATCTACTCTCAGACAATTTACACTGACAGTCTCTGAGCTCCCCTCGCTGACTCAGTTCCAATCAAGCCACTCGGCGAGCTTGTAGGCTGCAGAGGTTAGGTAAGCGTCTTAACAAGTAAATCTTCACTGGCCAAGAAGGGATGATTGACAGAATCTTGAAAGTAACACATTACGAGACTTCAAGTCCGATGGGATCGTTTCATAATGTAGACCCCGTATATAGCTACAAAAAGAAAGCCTGATGATAACAAACATGTCTTGCCTAGGCAGATCTCATCTCAAAATTTGTCTCTCCCTTGCCCCGATCTCCTTCCCCCCCCCTCGCCCACTTCCTCACATTCTCCGGCTTCAGCGCCTTCGAGATCGCTGACAGGCTCTTCCCAAACATCGCCGCAAGCTCCGCCTTGCTCTTGTGTACCTGCGGGTCCTTGGAGTGATGCAGCCTCACGATCTCCTGCCTCTCCCCCGCCGACAGCCTCCCCTTCCCCCGGCACGCCTTCTTGTGCCGCTCCCTCTCCTCCTCCGACCACGACCTCCCCCGCTTCCCCCGTCCCGCCGTCGCCGTAGCCTCCGCCCCCTCCTTCTCGCTCGGGCTCTCGCTCGGGCTGCTGCTCCTCGACCCCTCCCACGCCCCGTCCTCCCTCGCTTGCTCCGCCAGCGCGGCCTCGGCCCGCCGCATGGCCTCGGCCCCGAGCGAGCTTTGCCACCTCCCCGTCGGCCCCAGCGGGAGGTACCTCAGCTCGTCGCACGTCACTGCCGCCTCCTCGCTGCGATGCGGGGGCTGGTGGGGCTGCTGGCAGAGGGAGCAAGAGCACTTGTAGGAGAAGTCGCGGTAGGGCAAGGGGTCGAAGCAATCGAGATGAAGGGAGGGGGTGAGGAGGGTAAGCAGAAGTTCGATTTCAGTTGTCTTGAGCATGAAAGGGATCTCCTGCATGTCCATGTTCATCCTCCTGTGGTGCCGAGACGCGGGTCGATGGACGAGAGCCTAGCAAGGGTGCGCGGGAAAGGGGGGGAATAAAAGGGACTTTTATGGCTCACATTAAAATTCACCGGTTGTTAGCACAGTAGAATGAGGGGTGGTTTTAGAGGGTGGGGTGAAGGTCACGTCACCTCGCGGATGCTGACATGTAGAGCTTCGAAGCGTTGCATTTCAGAGTCACATTACTGGAATCATATGTACGTTTCTGAGGCGTGCCCAGTCAAAGCGGCGTACGAACGCTGCTGCATTGGTTGCAGAGGACAAGAGTGAGGGAAGAGGAGGAGGAGGAGGAGGACACGAAGGAGCAGAGGCAGGATCAGGAGCGGGAAGAGAAGCAGGAGCAGGATCAGGAGCAGGAGCAGGAGCAGGAGCAGGAGGAGCAGGAGGAGCCAAGTTGACTGGAGAAGGGAAGTGCGAAGGAGGTGGAAGGAAGATAGGGCAGTGTCAAGGGAGGTGAGGCGGGTACAAGACAACGAGACAGAAACGAAGAGACAAATAAAACCAAGTCGAAAGAACTAGACGGGAGAAAGAGGGTCGACAATGGAGTTAGAGAATAGGATTAGATAGTGCATGGGATTTGAGCAGTGAGGAAGAGAATCGGATACATGCAGATGCAAGGGATATATTCGTTTGACATGTCAGGCTAGCATTGCTCGTTCAGACACGAGGCGCCTCCAACACCTCACACTGCGAGCAGATGGGTCAGTTCTACTCAGCACCAGCGAAGAAGGAGGTGAAGTGGTACAATGACTTCGAGGAGACGATCCCTTCGCTCTCCGGCAAGGTTATTGCCATCACGGGTTGCACCACAGGGACGGGGTTTGTGGCAGCGAGGACGTGCGCGAAGAAGGGAGCTACTGTCCTGATGCTCAACAGGAAGAGCGAGAGGTCGGAGGAGGCGCTGAAGAAGATCAAGGAGGAGTTCCCGGAGTCGGAGGTCGTGTGGGTAGAGTGTGACTTGCAGTCCTTCAAGAGCGTGCGAGCAGCAGCGGCAGAGATCAAGAAGAAGTATTCGGGAGGGATCGACGTCTTGTGCAACAATGCGGGGATGATGATGATGGACAGCCAGACTGGAGAGGACGGCTACGATCTGGAGGAAAGTGCAGGGAGGAAGCGAGGGAAGGGAGGAGGAAGGGAGGGGAGGGAAGCAAGGAATCGAGGAGAGAGGAAACGAGAGGAGGGAGAGAGGGATGGGAGGGAGGGAGGGAGGGAGGGGAGGGAGGGAGGGAGGGGAGGGAGGCAGCCAGCCATTGATGAAGAGAGGAAAGAGTTGGGTTGGGGGGAAAGAGGCTGACGCGTGGGTGGCAGATGACTGTAAACCACCTGTCACACTTCTTGCTGACGAAAGAGCTCTTCCCGCTGCTGTCGAAGAAAGCAGAGTCGACGGGTGAGGTGAAGTGAGTTGGGGAGGGGAGCGTGAGAGGACGTCGCAGGAGATGCAAGGATCGTGAATCATTCCAGCGGAGCAAGGAAGAGGCCTGAAAAGAAGCTGGATCCCGAGGTAGGAAAGATGGACCTCAAGCTCGTCCTCTCATGAAGTTCGCTGCCCTCGACAACAGTACCTGAGCAAGAAGACTACGGACTTGGGTGGAAACGACTTGAACTCCCGCATTACGCGGTACCAGCAGGTGAAGGAGGGAAAAACTGCTGGCGTGGAGGGGAGGATGTGATGGTGTGGTTGCAGACAAAACTTTCCAACTGCGTCTTCACCTTTGCCTTGCACGACAAGCTTCAGGCGAAGAACAGCAAAGTGAGTCCCGGGGGTGCAGCAGCAGCAGCAGCAGCATCGTGACTTGCTGTCGCAGGTGAAGGTGCTAGTTGCTCACCCAGGCTTGTCTGCCACCAACCTGCAGGCGAGCTTGACTTATGGACGAGGAGGAGGCGGGGGAGGGAGGACGAGGACGAGGATGTGAGCGAGGGAGACGGGAAGAGGCAGGGGCAGGGTAAAGGGAGCTGGAGCAGGAGCTGGAGCTTGAGCTTGAGCTGGAGAAGGGGCAGGAACAAAAAGAGCAGGGGCAGGAGAAGGGTAAGGAAGGAGAGGAGGGCTGAAGGTCAACGGGGCAGGTGACGACAGCCAAGGAGGGCGGCTGGCTGATGGACCTGCTGTTGGGCACGATGATGCTCTTCAGTCACTCTGCTGAGGATGGAACGATGGGGATTGTGAAGGTATTTCCCTCCCTCCCTCCCTCCCTCCTCCTCCTCCTCCTCTCCTCTCTCTCTC